ATCCAAGGTAGAAAGAGGGCGGGAAAGCCGACGTACTGCTTCTTCCTGGACGTGAAAAAGGCATACGATACCGTATGGAGAAATGAGTTGTGGAAGCAATTGTCCAAGTACGGGGATCAAGGGGAAGATGTGGAGAGTGCTGAAGGAGATGACAGAGTGAACGAAAAGCACGGTCATGCTAGACGGGGCAATGTCAAAATTCTTGGACATTGAGCAGGGGGTACCACGAGGTTGCACGCTGTCCCCAACATTGTCCAGGTGTTCATCAACGATCTGTTGGAAGTCGTAGAGGCAGTCCGGAAGGGAGTAAAAGTAGGGGACACGGAAACGTCGGTTTCAGGAATGCTGTTTGCGGATGATTTTGTCGGTATGTCGGACACCCCTGAGGGACTGCAACTGCAAATTGACGCGGCGAAGAAGTTTACTGATAAGTGGAGATTGTCTGCCAACGTTCAGAAGAGTGCCGTCATGGTATGCAACGAGAACAAGGAGGAACCAGTAGAACATAGATGGAAGTGGGGGATCGAGGAGATTGCAGTAGTGGACCAGTACACATACCTTGGAGTAGAGATCGCAAAAGACTGCTCGTGGAATGCACACATGTCCAAGGTAGCGGAAAAGGGCAAAGCACGAGCAGGGAAGCTGCACCCAATACTCGCAAACCGGCACCTCGATACACGCATCAAATTGACGGTTTTGAAGAGCGTAATCGTACCGCCGCTAGAGTACGCCGGAGTAGTATGGCAAGGAAATAAGAAGGTAGAGAAAGAACTCGAGGCGGCCCAGATGAAAGCAGCGAAAATCATCCTTGGATGCTCCAAGCGCACAAGTAATGCAGCCGTCAGGGCAGAATTGGGGATCCAACCCCTACGGTTGGGAAGAGCCGCAAGGAAGCTGACATGGCAGTATCGCATGTGCGGGATGGGAGAAAAGAGGTTGCCGAGAATAGTATGAGAGGCGAAGTGGGCAAGCAAAAAGAGGGGTAGACAACCCACGGAATGGATCAAGGTTGTAGAGGACCTGTGGAAGGGGTTCGAAATCGACGAAGATGAACGCTGGAAACGGAGGGTCTACAGGGGTTCAAGGAGAAGATATCTGTTGCTTGTGCCGAGAAGAAGAATAAAATCTGAGGAAAGAAACCAAGGATAAGGAGGGTCTAGAAGTGTACGGAATGTTGATGAAGGAAGGAAAAGGGTACAAGGATCACCCACATGGATTAATGGATGCAAGGACAAAGCTTAAGGTCAAATTCAGGACCGGGGACATAAGCCTTCGAGGACGTCGACGAAGACATAGGACGGTAGACGACGAAGACGATAGGTTCAGATGTGATTGCGGATCCGAGTGCGAAGACGGGGTTCACGTAGTCGCGGAATGCCAGTTGTACGAATAGGAGAGGGAAGCGTACATCACTGAGCTGGAAAAATGAAGGGGTGTACAGGGAGATGTTTGAGGCATGTAAGAGAGAGGGGAAGACCGTAGCTGTACTGGGGCGTAGGAAGTGGTTTGACAAGGCGGCAAGTGATATCGGTAGAAGGGATATCGTTAGGATAGACACACTAGGGAAGATATTTTTGAGCCACCTTTGGCAAAGTAGGAAGGAACGATTTGTCATCGGTGATCGGTCCTGTGGGAACAATGATCCGTCCTGTCGAGGACGCGTGGTCAATGGTCTAACCGCTAAGGCATGCAAACATAAGAGTACGCCCGCCCACTTCTCCCCCCCTTGTTTATTGCAACTTTCATGTAGGCAAAAATGATTGACTGCCCTTTCAGTACCTGTATTTGGACAAAATTGGAGATGGAGGTGATGGCATGCTGCCTCTGGCGCAAGGGTTTCCCTTATGTCAAATGAACCGTTACTGGGGCAGGATGCATCGGAAGTTATGTTTGATGAAGATGAGGCGCGGAAAGGCCAAGGAAGCCGCGGTAAGTTTCTTTCCAACACTCCTGTGATGGAATGAAAGGCTCTCAAAACACGGTGCCGACGATCCACACGTGATGATCGGGCGGCGACGATCACCTTCTCTTACCGACCAAATAGATGCAAGACAAACAGGGCACCGGTCCTGACCGGACTTGATGTTCCTCCCAATTTACGTTGGCAATATCCATTGGGAGAAGCCGTTAAGGGGGGAGCACACGACAGGTGCAGCCCATAAACAAACACAGCTAGTACACTCCTCTGAAGGATCGATAGTACTCAGCACACAGTCTGCCGAAGGGCAGAAAGTCTCAGACAGTTGCCGCTCGAGGGATTGTCGATTTCAGTTCATCCATGGTGTTCTCTCCGCATGGCTGACAACTGACAACGGGATGTATAGATAGGAGACACGTTCGATTTTCTATCTTCAATTATAGTAAAAGAAGGGGGAGTGCAGAACGTTACAGCAGGGAATACAGCGAATGGGCATACAACTGGTTGCTTGCATTCTTGTTTTGAAGTTATTGACGAAACCGAAAATCGGTGGAATTGGTGTACCACATGGAGGATCTGATGGATTGAGTGCTGTACGCAGTAGACCGATGCGCGGCATACGTACACACACGCCGCAGACAAAAACTCACAAAAAAAAATGATGCAGGTTCACGGGTTCGATTTCAGAGACTGCAAGGAAGGGTGGGTATGCACGCCTTGGTCATGATGTTGTATGTGTCATGAATCGCAGGGCTCATAAATGACGTGTGGCGAGCACTGAGAAGCGAGCATGGAGTCCACATGTTGGACGCTCCTGACCCACTAACCGGGGAGGTTTTGTTTGCTTGTTGCTGGCGTGCAGGCAAGATGTTTTGGTAACTATCTGACAGACGCGCCACCACCCCACTGTAGGAGCTTGGCAGTGAACAAATTCAGCCTCAAAAACGACCCAATCTAACCCATAGGAACAGGTGCTCAGGTCCGGCGTTGTGTTGTCACTACTGCAGAACCCGTAGGGAGCATACAGAAAGAACCACGCCCCCAAACTGCGGCGCCTGCAAGATAACAACGCTAGAAGGTGGCGTGCGATCCAGCATATGGTTGAAGATAGATGAAGATGAGGTCGTTCGTTGGAATCATGTGGCGGGCGACAAGGGTTGGTTGGTGCCTGCGTACAATTCGCGTACCCCTCGTTGCGTGTGTGTGTGTCACTATGGGTGCATGTAGATAGCAACATGCCTTTTAGCCCTTGAGACACTTCGGCAGCTCGATTAAGCTTCAAACCTGTTTGGGAAGATACCTCGAGAACTGCGAGGAGTACCGGTTTCTCCTTTTCGAGAGGTGTGGAATGGCGATGGGTCTGGCCGTCGACGGTTCAGGTGATGACCCGATTCAACTTTCAGGGTCTGGACAAACCGTATTCTGATTCTTTAGTGTGGTGAGTACGGTAGCGACGAAGGTGTGACCAGAGGAATGGAGGGGGGGGGGGGGGTACTCATAGTCGTGCATGCCGTAGTCGTTAGACCATTGACCTCGCATCCCTACAAAGCCGGGACGGAGCACGCCGGGTTC